TTGTCCCATTCAGGTCCTGTGGCTACTGTACATGCGCACCGCATCCCCATTTCTAAGACTGGTCCATACATATTGAGGATAGCCAGAGGAGAATAAACCCAGCCAAAATATAATTTTTTTAAATTTATGTTTTTTTTTTATGCAGCAAAGGTTACACAAAGAGTTGTCGTACCTCCCCATCAACAGTGGTTATTTCAGTTTGAATACAAGGCTGCTGAAACTTTACATCTCGACCAATATCATCTTTCCAGGGCTCGGGACCGGGTGTGGGTGACTCTGAAAAGAGCAGGCGATTAATTTATGGAAAAAAAAAACATAGGGCTGAATATTAAAATGGCTAGTAGTAGTTATTCATATATAACTGGACTTGCTTTGTAATTTTAGAAAGATACCTTATCCCGCCGGGTGAACGTCCCCTCCTCTCTCTGCCGGCGTCATGACCAAGATGGCTGCCGGCAGTTAACATCCTGTTAAGAGGTTGTTTTGTCTCCCCAATTCACAGGTACCTCACTTTTGGACAATCAACATCTGCCTTGATACATTTCATAATGATTGCAATAAGGCAACTGTGCTACATGTGTGGAAATAAATGTTGGGCTATGTCCCTGACACTCAGAATTGAAGAAGTGACTTGATTAAGCTAAGAAACATCTTTCAACATTACAGAACAAGCCCAGTTGAACATGACTGACTACTAAAAGCTATACCATGACCTAGACAAATAGAAATGTTAAAATGCTCCAGGATATAATAAACTAAAAAGTTTGGCTTGGTCGTAGGGTGATGTGCCAACATTATTAGTGTTTTTGCCATGTTTTAAAACCTTATAAATTTGTTCCAACAACATGAAAATTGGATTTTTGCACTCATCATGAAATCCTTGTCTTGGAAGTTCATTAAGGGACATAGGATTCAGAGACAATTGGGTTATACTACTGCTTACAGAAGGATTTGGACACCAGCAAACAAATAGTGACTAGCCTGTTGTAATCATTTCCAGCATGCCTCAGTTTTGTAACAAGCAATGCTGAGTGCAAGACCAGAACCACAAAGGGGCACGACCTATGTCCCTCCATTAAATGTCAATAAAAGGGGTTTATGGTGAGTACAAAAACAGGATTTGTCTACTTACTGTAAAACCCATTAAGGCACACAGAACAGCGGTAATTTAAGTCGGTTATACTGCTGCCTTTATGGGGAATTAAACACTGGCAAACAAAAGCCATTAGTCAATCAATCAATCAATTATAACCCCTCCCACTATGCTTGTTTGCTAGAAAGCAATACAGGGGTAGATTACAAACACAGAGGGGTGGGGACCTATGTCTCTTATTGAACTCCAAGAAAAAGATTTTACTGTAAAATACAAGTGCAAAAATCAATTTTTCTTTATCGTTAATTACGGAACAATGGATCAGAAGTAAATCGGTGACAAGGAGGGCCAATCAAAAGAGAAGAGCCACGAGAGAGCACCAAAAACTGAAACCTGGAGCTACAGATCAAGTCAGCCAACACCTCAAAGAGGAAAAACTGTACCCAAGAACTATGGGCCTCAAACAATAGGTAGAATAGTATAACACCTGGAATGAGGGAGAAACAGACCAAATTGCAATATGGTTAATAGAAGAAATGAGAAAACAGCAACACATCATTTGGACAACAGCTAAGAGGCGTAAGTCTAGCATGCTTAGCCCTTGACTGCAGGAAAGGTAGTTAGGACAGAGCAGAGATGTCTAGAAGTTCAAGTAGAGAGTTGCTAAAGTTCAACAAGATAATCCTAACCATCGATTTTAGTGAGAGAGTGAGACAATGGCAAAAAGGACGCTAAGCAAGGAAGGATAGACTTTCAATAGTACTACCCAGAAGCCCTTGAAAGGGGGAGGGAAGGGAAAAATCAACAAGATCAGAAGTATGTTTCTTTGAGAGGAGGTGGGACAAACATGAGAAAACCCCTCCGTGACTAGGAATAGAGAATCAATGGAGAGAATAGAAATATTACCTAGGAACTATGGAAAAAGCATGGACACAAAAGGTGAAACAGAAGAGAGACCAACTGAGGAAGAAGTTCACCCAGTGTAGCAAAGGGAAATCTTAAACCTTTTCAGAGGAGAAGAACTAGCAGCTTAAAGGTGCAGTGTAAAAGAAATTTGCCAGCTACTAAAAGGAGGCTTTATAAGGAATTAAACTCAAGGATGCTTCCAATAAGGGAGTTCTTAAGAGAGTAACATCTCCAAGGCAAGTCGAACGATAGCAACCTTGACTATATGGAACAAAATGACTAATCAGATGACTAGCCCAAAATCCATACTCTCCAGCTCAAAAGATAAGGAGAAGGGAGAAAAAAATACTTAGGAGGAGCAAAACTCAAAACAGAGTGGACGTCTTACAAAGACTGCAGAGGGCATGATCCTTATCTCGTACAAAGTGGGAAAATGTATGAATGGACTGACCAGAAGAAAGGGCTGCAAAAAATCCCCATAGATGAAACCAGATAAAAAAGGGTGCAATAGGGTGGACATAATATCTTGTTCCATAGAAGAGTCCAGAGCTACCCAAGGACTCAGTATAGTTAGTTTCTCATTTGGGAAACAGCAAGGACTTAGCCACGGCTCTGAGGCAGATGTCACAATATAGAGCCCAAGTCTACTACTGCTGAGATCAGTTGCGATACCGCTCGGAAATGGGGGAATGCCCTGCAGTTAAAATATTTATATTGCAGAGCACATTTTAAAAATAATTTTAAAAAAAATGTAGACACATTTGTTGGTACCCTTATCTTTCTATGCCTCTTTTCTCCTGAAAATTGATGAAATGAAAAGCAATCTCCTTATGTATACCTGCATGCCTTTGGTATGTCAAAGGGTAAAAGGAAAGGAAAAGCCTGGACAATGACCTGGACATTACCATTTTATATCCTTAGAAAAGATTTTTTTAAATTGGATCATAGGGATATTTCAACCTAACTTATCTGTGAATAGTATCACACATCTTCAAACTTGTAATTAGTCAACTTATTTAACTGGAGAAAAGCAGTCACACTGGTATCACCATGTGCACCACACTGAGCATAGACCAGAGAAGGAAAAGGAAAGGAAAGCTGTCTGAGGAGTTCAGAAAGATTATAAATATCTAGCATGTCAAAGATAAAAGCTATAAGATCATCTCAAAGCAGCTTAATGTTGCAAATATTAGATCCATAGGAGTATAGGCAACCTCCCTGGACATGGCTGCAAGATGAAAATTGAGCTCAGATTGAACAGAAGGATAGTGTGAAATGGTAGACAAAAGAGCCAAGAAAAACAGAGCAAAAGCTCCAAGGTCATACGTGCTGTGAAACACAGAGGAGGCTCTATTGTATTTTGGGGCTGCCTTGCTGCAAGTGGCACAGGGTGAAATCTCCAGACTATTAAGGTATTCTGGGGCGGAACATACTGCCCAATGTCTGAAAGCTCTATCTCAGTCAGAGATCATGGGTGCTCCAACACGATAATGACCCAAAACACACAGCTAAAAGCACCTAAAGAACAAAACATTGGACTATTCTGAAGTGGCCTTCTATGAGCCCTGATCTCAATCCTATCAAACATCTATGGAAAGAGCAGGACCATGCAGTTTGGAGAGGGCACCCTTCTGAGACAGCTAGAGCAGTTTCCTTAAAGGAGAACTATGGGGTCAGTTCTAAGGGTACATAAGGGTAACGGGAGGACACAAACTAGCGTCACCCAAAGCTCAGTATACCGCAAGATACAGCTCGCGGTATACTGAGATGCCGCAGCCGGGACGATCCCGTCATTACTGTCGAGATCCACCCAGCTGCGGGATTGACACTGGCTCTGCCTATCTAGAGGCAGAGCCACCTGTACCCGCCCCCTCCCCGTCCGTTCCGCCATTCAGCGCTGGAGGATCGGACGGGGGGGAGAAATCCCTGCAGGGAGCCGTGGGTGACAGTCACGGCTCTCTGCAGGGATAGGATCGAGAAGTGAGCGAGCTACGGTATGCGTTTGCTCACTTCCCGATCTATAGAGCCGACCTGTGACAGTTTCATTGTCACAGGTCGGCTAGAACTAGGAGGCTGAGTGATTTTCTCCTTTAGGAAAATTGCTGTAATTGCCCCTAAAGGTTGTCTGGATAAACAGCTTTAATTTCTTTGCTTGCAACCACCTGTTCGAAGTGAATGTCATCAGATTAAAATAAATAATATTTTTAAAAAACATATTTGAAATACTTTGGTGGTTGATATACTTTTACCCTCCTATCTAAATGAAAAGTCTAATTGAAGCTCAGTTTACAAAAGTCTAGAACAAAAATAACGATCTATATGGATTGTTATCATAGCTATTCAGCAAGGATGCCAACTGATCATTTTAGACAGAAGCTGATTTCTACCCAAAGCAGTATGAATATTGGACTATTGAATAAATGTATTATCTGTGACCCACCAGTACTAAATAAATACCTAGAAAATAAACACTTTGACATTCCATGACAGTTAAATATACTTACCCCAACAGTACTTCCAGACTTGCCCATCTGCAGTTTGTAAAGCACATGTTTTCGTTTTTGTACTATAGCATACAGTGATAACGCGTCCATCAACTATCCCACCTTGCCTGTATGCAGGAACAAAATTATAAAATTATTTTTGGCACAGTCACCAAAATATTATTTCAAGAAATAAAGAATGTCTAACTGTGTATATACTGCCAATCATTAAACATTGAATTACATATTCATGGGGGGGGAAAAAGGGAAGAATAAAGGTGACCTTACAGGGGTCAGCAAAAATAATCTGGTGATACTTTAATACCCCATTTTTGAAATCGCTAAAACAACTGGTTTTGACAGAACACACTCAATAGAAACCTTACATTTTGTAGGCGATTACAAAGCTACCACACTCAAGTAGCTGGGGCATGTCACTGGAATGTCTGATGAAAGTAGCGACAGTTACACAATTATGCCATCCATCATAGCACTATAAAGCCACTATAGTTACAGCTCAAGCTAGAATTTAGACACCGATCTAAAGGAGTCATAGGAGTGATTCACCCTACATTGTGCAGAGTACAGACTGCTCACTATTATGTTTTCATGAGGGAGGGAGAGTCTAAAAGGAAACAGCTTATGCTATGCTCTCTTGTTAGAAAACCCATGATGCTCTATGAATCCAGTAAATGCCAGGGACTTAATAAATACTAGAAAAGGTTATAATAAGGGCTTGTTCACACAATGTCGGGAGCAGACCTGCAAACAAAATTCAGCGCGTTTATGATGCGTTGGTTTTTTTTATAGCTAAAAATGTGCTTTCTGGTGCAGTCCAAAGCAGAGAAAATAGTGCATGCAGCATTTTCCCCCACACACCGGAACAGACTTCACTGCTGTGAACAGAGCCCAGAAATAGCATAGGAACACATTGGGATGCATTTCAGGTGCGGAGGAAAACTGTTCTGGTCTGGATCTAGTCCAGACATAGTGTTAACAAGCCCTAAATGCTGCATGGAGTTTTTATTTGTACGCTCGTGTATTGGCAGCCTATTCAATCATTCCAGTGAATTCAGAATATCTTCCTGTTTGTTTTCCAAAGTTTCTGTTTTATGACCAAGTCGATTGTCAATGGTCAGGTTTCAGGGCCTTAATTTTTATTTAAACAATGTTTATATCTTTTTAAACAGCTGTTCCAAGTCTTTTGTGGGGACAGCCTTAATGTGGCCCTAATGTTTCAATTAGTCCTGTCCTCGGAAAAGGGAATGGGTGCTGGGAGGGGTACAACCCCAATTCCAAAGAAGTTGGGACATTTAGTAAAATCTACATAAAAACAGAATGCAATGATTTGCATATCTCATAAACCCATATTGTATTCACAATAGAAAATATAAAATATATCCAATTATTAAACTGAGAAAGAAAAAAATAAGGTAATTTTGAAATTGATGGCAGCAACACATCTCAAAAAAGTTGGGACAGGGCCATGTTTACCAGTGTAGCATCCCCTCTTTTAGCAACACTCTGTAAATGTCTGGGAACTGAGGAGACCAGTTGCTGGAGCTTTGGGAGAGGAATGTTGTCCCATTCTTGCCAGATATGAGATTCTAACTGCTCAACAGTCCTGGATCTTCCTTTATCATAGCTTTCGTTTCAAGATGCATCAAATATTTTTAATTAGTGAAAGGTCTGGACTGCAGGCAGACCAGTTAGGCACTCGGACTCTTCTACTATGAAGCCATGCTGTTGTCATAGATGCAGTATGCAGTTTAGCATTGTCCTGCTGAGATAGACAAGGCCTTCCCTGAAAAAAGTACACCCCAATACCATCAGAGGTGCAGGCTTTTGAACTGGGCGCTGAAAAAAGCCGGAAGGTTCCTCTCCTCTTTAGTCCAGAGGACACAGCACCCATGGTTGCCAAAAAGAATGTCAAATTTTGACTCGTCTGAGCACAGAACAGTTTCTCCCTTTACTCGTCTGAGCACAGAACAGTTTCTCCCTTTACGACAGACCATTTTAAAATGAGCTTTGGCCCAGAGACGATGGCGGCGTTTCTGGATCTTGTTTAGATATGGCTTCTTCTTTGCATGATAGAGCTTTACTTGCCATTTTTGGATAGCACGGCAAACTGTGTTCACAGACAGTGATTTTTGGAAGCATTTCTGAGCCTATGCAGTGATGTCCATCACAGAATCATGACTGTTTTTAATTGCCATATGAGGGCCCGAAGATCACGGGCATCCAATATTGTGTTAAGGCCTTGCCCGTTGTGTTTTCTCCAGATTCTCGGAATCTTTTGATATTACGTACTGTAGATCATATAGTTAAAGTCTCTGAAATTTTACGTTGAGGAACATTATTCTGAAATTGTTCCACAATTTTTAGACGCAGTTTTTCATAGATTGCTCAACCTCTTTACTCCATCTTTACTTCACGGACTCTCCAAGATGCTCTTTTTTTATACCCAATCATTTTACCGACCTGTTGCAAAGTGTTCTTCCAGCTCTTCCTTGTTACTAGCAATTGCTGTGCCAGCTTTCTGTTGCCCTGTCCTAACTTTTTTTTGAGACATGTTTCTGCCATCAATTTCAAAACTACCTTTTTTTTTTCTTAAAATGGTACATTTTCTCAGTTTAAACATTTTCTACTGTGAATAAAATATGGGTTTATTACATGTTCTACCTGCTTCAGAGGGTCTGCAACAGTGAAGGGTGTGTGTACTATGAAGGCTCTGCAGGGATGTGCTGCAGCATCTTGGATGCAGCTTGTGTGTTCGTTCTCCGTTTGTAGAAAAAGTTCTCCAAGGTGGTTCACAGTGTGTCTCTGGCTGTACTGCTTGTGTGGTGGAGGTTCTTCTGTTGCCTGGCATCACTCTGTGTCTGATGTGCACCCCAGTGGCAGTGCAGACCCAGTGGGCAGAACCGAGCTGCAACCTCACCCACACAAAAGGCAGGACATGTCCTCGTTGGCAGCCTATCCAAAATGAACAGGCTTCCTTAATGCAACACATTAAAACATGACACCATGCAGGATTAAAGCGCAAACACAACACTCAAGAAAAGCAAAGTGTAAATGGGCCCTCAGTCAACCTTGAGGCTCTGGGGTGGCCTATATTACTCACTGTCAAATTTAAAGTTAAATAGTTGCTCGTCTGTCAGAGGGGTTTGTCTCCAGTATTTGTCATGTCAAGGTAAACAATACTCATTCAGCAACGCATGGTGACAATGGAAGAGGCAGTATTGTTATCAATGTTATCAATGTTATCAATACCAAACCTTGAAAGCAAAAAGTGGAAACAAAAAAGAAAGACATACTACATACCTGGGATTAATTATTTGTCCATTCTCCAATGGTATAGTAATGTGGTAAACTGTTGATTGAGAGGGGCTCTTTCCTTGGCTGATAAGCAAGAAAGTGTTGTCCTGCACCCAAGTCAGATGGTGAAAATAAAGAGGCTGCATATTTTCTGATGGGACATGTAACCTGAACACATTAAAATTCTGTTAAATTCAGTTTTATGGTAAACAAACCCACTTATATTTCTATTTGTTTACCCTTACTTAGGTTATCTTACACCCCAATTGTCTTGCAGTTGCAACTTTAAGGCTGTATACATTACACACAAAGTATTTTTCCAAAGTTATATTTTGTTAAACTTTTTAAAACCATTATATTAAAAAACAACTTATAACAAGAAACTCATGTCATTCAGACCATAAACCTTTTAAATGTAAACAAAATATAACACAGCATCTATATCGTTATTGATTACTAGTAGGATTTATGAACCCCTACCTGTGGATCCCAAGGCATACAAAAAATAAAAAAAGTTAGGGACAGTGTACATTTTTTGGGGGATAGGGAAATATTAGAACCTGTCAGAGGCAACATTAGTGTGCTCTGCGCAGACTCGGCATCCTGAGATGAAGTACACAAATACTGTACACATGCACATGGCTCGGCTAATCAAGGGGCCAAAAGAATTAGAGATCAGAGGAAGAGCAGGACTAAGATGGAAGTGCAGACAAGTAGTGCTGGAGGGAACTGTTTTGGCAGGTAAGTCTGCCATAATGTGCTAATATGCTCTGGATACTAAGAGATGCTTTTTTTCTCCCTTATTTTATTTCTGCTTTAACATAAAGCTTGCCAATTTGTAAAGTATAAATTATACAATTCCCCCAGCAGAGCAATCTTTGTAGGTAACAAGTGTAGGAATATAACTACGGAAACAGCTGTACACAAAAATACATTTTGTATGCAATATATTTTTATAACAGAAAGAAAACATGACATTGCACTGCAGTTGCAACTTTAGAACGAAGATGTGAAGGCTCCTGGAGAAGTGATATATTTATATATAGTTTTGTTTTTTTTCATCACAATAATGCACGCTGTTGACTGGAAACAGAATTCAGCATGTAGTCACCAAAAACTTACTTGAACTTGTTTTCTAGGATGGGAGTTTTTGCAGACCCTTTGAATCCATTCCCTCCAACTATTTTTACATCTGATTCCTTAGCAGCATCAATTCCTATAAATAAAATTAAAAAAAAGTGATAATTCTTTAACTTTGACCAGATATTTCACCATTCTCTGCACATTGGGTAATTCCCAATATACACTACACAAAACAAGAGAATTCTTTGCAATTGTGTAAAAGAGAAGTGGAAGGAAGGTTATGACAAATGCAGTGAAAGTCTGTGTTAAGGAATGTTTTGTTACTGCATGAATATAGTTAGCATTACCAACCCACCATATCTGAAGACATAAACTGTATCGCTGTTAGCAAGGACCGCCAGATCACTACTCTTCTTAGGATCCGTGTGAAAGGCAACCTCATTCAGTGCACAAGGGAACTGCATGTGAAATGTGTACATTGGAGGAGGGACCAGAGCCTGGGAAAAAGAGGTCACCAGGACTTTATCTGTAAAATAATCAGAATGTTATAGATTTATTGCTACATAACAATTAAGCCTTCCGAATGCAAAATACATACAAAAAAACAAGGAGCAAGTTTATAATAAATATGTCTTATTGCTTTAATCTTGCTATGTGCAAAGTTGATAAATATTCCCAAGTGTTTAAGCATATTTTTATACCTTGCACAATAAAACATGATTTTTAGAATATAAAATCAATTTCCTGGAGTTCAATAAGTGACACAGGACAGGGGCAAGTCACATTATTCAGTTATTCTGAAACAATAGGGTTGTACTGCTGCCTACAGGAGGCATTGGACACTGGGGAAAAAAAAAAAAAGCTACCGGCAAGCCAGGTATAACCCCTCCCACTCCCAGCATGCTTCAGTTTTGTAGAAACAGGAGTAGATCACAAACACAGAGGAGTGGTACCTGTGTCTCTTAATGAACTCTAAGAAATGGATTTTACTGCAAGTAGAGAAATGCTTTTTGCATTTTTCTTATTCAATAAAGGCCATGTACAATTTTCCATGTTATACCCATATTTAGGGTGAACATGGTGCCATTCTGTAGCCCTCCAAATTACCAGAAGGGATTCTCCCTGCAGGCTTTTGCATATTTTTTTTATCTCAGTGCTGCTATGTTTGGCTCTGCCCGCACAGCTGCATCATTTATTTACAGATCCATTCACATGATCTGTGAAGATAAAAAACTACAAGTCCCTTCACCCCCACTGCAGCAGAGGGACCCCTAGTTGCCAATGAAATACAAGTGCACAGATGTCCCTGCACTTGTGACTACAAGTCCAGGGACATCAGTGCACATTGATAACTTCCTTCTGCTCCATAACCATACATCAGTATGCACCTGGGGCTAAAGGAATAGACTGCAGGAGGATGAATACATACATACATTTTTTCTTTTTGCAATATGGGTGAATTTATTATTTTTTTGTGAAACGTGGAAAATGCTATAAAAAAGGGACACAAAAAAAATGTCCAAAAGCAGTCCAATTGAGGGATGGGCAACAGTAACGAAGCACCAACAGGTCCAACAGAAAACTGGGGGCAGCCTGCAGCTCCAAGAGCTGCCTGAAGAATCTTATGCTCAAAGCTGGCATCAAATGAGGCCTGAAAATCCACCAGGTGACACTTAGAAAATGTGTGACCAGAGGAAAGTTGGAGGTTGAAGCCTGAGATTTAAAAAAAAGGAACTCTTCTTGGCTTCAGACAGGAGCAGCCTCCCCATAATGATAACTAGTTTTCTGCCAGGGCAAATGAGTACTCGTACCACCAAAAACAGGTTTTTTTGTAAGTTGTCTAATGATACAACAAAGAGACATTCACCATAAAAAGAGGCAACGAGACTTATTTGGGAAATTAGGCGGACAATATCTACCAACCCTCTACGCAAAAGGTGTAGGGGTGTAGGCATAAGCACTAAAGGTCTTTACGGCTAATGATCAGAAAGGACAGTAGCTGGATCCTTCGACAATTCTTAGTCCATTCCCCTAAGGTTTGTGAAATAGAATCATGGCTATGGCAGGTTGCATAACTGGACCTGCCAGCAAAACAGGATTTGACAAGTTTGGAAGCTATATCAGCAGATTGTGGCTCCTTAGTAACAAAACGATCCAAAATAAATTTATAACTTTCTTCATTCAAAGGTGCAGTCACAGCAGAAGGCTCAGAGGCCACTACAGCTGCAGGAATATCAGATAAAGATTCTGGAGGAGAAGGCATTGAAGTACACTTATAGCCTCAGTGTTCCAAGTCATCACAGTTGCAATTCTAATGTGTGGCAGATAAGTTGCGCTCGGTCTAGTTGTGAATGGGTGTGAAAGTGATCTCTCAAAACCAAAGGGGGAGATCACCTTCAGATAACAAAATATAATAAAAAATGTTAAATATAAAGTAGATGTCTCCACTAGTGATAGTGAATTAGTGGTTGAAGCTGCAAAACACAACCCGGTGGTACTTGAGTGTATTGTATGTGTGTGGTGAGCTTTAGCTGGCTAAACAAATCAGTTATATTGAAAGCATCCGTATAAGCATAGTCATGAAGCAATAATATGTGAATAAACAATCAATAAAAGCACCTATATATAAAATCCAGTGAATAGTTAAACAACAAGTGATACGTTATAAAAAACGAAAAATACAAATACAAAATAAAGTGCAGCCCAGTGTGCTCCAGTTCTTCTCAAAACTGGAACTACGGGGTTAATAGGCTCAAATTCAAATATCCCAAGCAGTCATTTCAGAGAAATTGCGGTTTGCAAAAAATAGTAATTACTTTCCTTATTTCCGTAATGTCTGAGTGGAAAGTTTATTCGTTCAATAGAGGGTTCCTCATGGATATCCACAGGAGTCCGTATCCGACCACCCAATGGTCCAGAGATTCCCGAACAAGACTGTGGTTATAATGATCCGGCACAATCTTTTCTCTCTAAATCTAGCACTCCGGTTTGTTTTTCTCTTATGGCGGGTTTCCTAAAGACTCACCGCCCGACTGGTGTGTATACCATTCCAGCCCTGCTTTTCCATGAGTACAGGTCTGACAAAAGAACCATGCTTAACACTAAACATACATTGTTAAGCTTGTGTCGGAGTGGAAATTTTCATGGCCCAATTTCCAACCTGTGATTGTGTCTCCGAAAAGTAAACAAAGCACATAAGACAAACCTCGTGACATTATCCTACCAGGAATGTGATTTAACCATGACTTCTAATTTATTATGTACACATCCAGAAATTAAAACCTAAATATTTATCCACTACAACCTTTATTACTGTATTTATAAAACAAAGTATAAGGTTATTAAAAGATCATTAATAAAAATTGAATCAATCTTACCGCCATCAATAACAGCCACATCAGCCTGAATACCTGGGTTCTGCCCACTGCTTCGGTCTGTGCTCCAACACCAGTCATACTGGAAGTACTGCCATCCCGCACATACCACATGTAGTCTGTATGAGATCTCAGGATCCCAAGCCACAGACACAATTTTACTGTCATCATTATTCCCAAAATTTAAGTATTGCTTGAGGTACCAATGATAATTTCCAACAACCCACAGCTGAACTACAAAAGAAAGGAAAAATATTCAGTCATTTCTAGGTTACTGCCTTCAAAAAACAAATAGAATTAAAATGCAGGTCTTGTAGAAATATATACAAGCATTAAAATTCAATGGAGGTTCACAGAAAACTAGGCCTTCTGTGAATGGCCAGGGGGAAACGGGGAGGCGGGTAAACAACACTGGTTCTCTCATGTCTGAGAGCCGCAGCAGGCCAGAAGCACAGTGAGAGCATGAAAACGTATACATTTTAAAGGAAAAAAAAGCAGTGATCCTGGATGTGGACTACACCTCACCATAGGTACCTTTACTTACACAGCAGAAATACTAACAGGGTTATTCACAAAAGGGTGAAGAGTTTGGAGAAGGCAGGAGAAGTGAACAATCTAGGACAAAATAGCTGAACTGGAAAGTGAGCTGAATTGGAGAATATTTTCACATCAGCTATGTTGTCTAGATTGTTCACTTCTCCTTTCTTCTCCAAACTCTTCACCCTTTTGTGAATAACCCTGTAAAAGTTTTCCTGGAGTTCTGAAACTCCCAATTTTGAATTGCACTGGCTCTAAATATTTAAGAACTATTTTAAACAAAGTGCCAGATTTACAAACACTGAAAACTTTTGCAGCACAAATATAAAAATGTTTTTGAATTACATAAATACGACATCCTGCATATTCAGAATATGCATCCCAACTCTGCCAGCATTCAGAGCTTTGGGCTCATTTTCAAATTTTCTTCTTGCTTCTGCTAAATAAAGGCTATTTAAGAGTTCAGTAGATTAAGCTCAAATTGACACTTACAAGTGAATGAGTCAATGCAATGGCTGCTCAATCTTCTCTTGCATCCCTCTAAACAGCTCCATCTAAGGTTTTAATCAGAGACATGTACTGCTGTGCACTCCCTTTAGGCCCAAAGCATTTGGGGGAATTGTCATCTTTGTCAACGTTCACTTGTAAAACATGTATTGTAAAGAAAGGATGTCGCATACTGTCGAGTTATACTGCAACCTATAGGAGGATTGTCCATAATAGAAGTCACAAGCACTCCATGATATGTGCAAGAAGTAAAGCACTTTTTATTCAATTGTCACATGCGTGACACTAGACGCATGTGACAATTGAAAAAAAAGTGCTTTAATTCTTGCACATATCATCGAGTGATAGTGACATCTATTATGGACTGTATCTGACATGGCGCCATCCGTGTTATCACATCACATCAAGCACCAACCTCTTACTCAAGGTCTGTACGCTGCATGGAGTGCAGGTGATTTCGTATTATCTATAGAATTGGTCAGTGGGCATTGAAAATTCTGGAGGCCAGCCCAGGATAACCCCCTCAAAATTGCTAGTATGCCTCAGTGCGTAGCAAGCAGTACTAGATCATGATCATAGAGAGTGTGACGCCAAGAAAATGATTTTTACGGTGAGCACAAAAAAAAAAAAAAAAAGAAGTTACATTTTCTTTCTGGTCCATTTAAGGACACAAGAAGTGATGTACAGTAGGAATGTTCAAAAGCATCACAACTGAGAGGTATGCAACAGCAAATAACCACGAACAGGCCCAACAGAAACAAGACTGGGGACTGTGTGCAGTTTAAAAGTTGCCTGAAGGAGTAAAGTCTGAAACTGATATCAGATGAGGCCAAATCCAGCACCTGGTAGAATGGGGCAAGCCCAGGTTGCAAGCCAGCATCGAAACTAAGTCTGGTGCCAGAAGAAAAAAAATACTCACAATGGTGCAGAGGTACAACATGGGGGGGTGTCCCGAATCATAGACCATAATGTGGAAATGTTCCACTTGATCCAACCAGAAGACAGATGAAAAAAAAACAAAACACAATACCCAACTGCGAAGGATTCACTTTTAGGTGTGAACAGCACAGAGAAGGAACTCATCAAGGAGAGGGATCAGACAAAAAAAAAAAAAATGTTCTGGTAAGGAAGGTCAGAGGCTCACTAGGCTAGAAAAGTCTCTAAACCTCAGCTCCCCTGATCCACCAGGTCCAAGTAAGAAGGGGGGGGCATGATCTGACCAGTCCAGGCATCTCCACCTAACCAGGGAGTGGACTACCCAGGTAGAATCCTGAGACTAACTTAGCTCAGAAGTAACTTCAAGACATGGAATGGTGGTCCCTGCACCCCCTTAGAGAACCAAGGCTCAATTCCCTGGAGTCAGCAATACCAAATAGATCAAGTACATGCGGCTTCCTATACAGGGAGAAGGCAGTGGATTGCTGGCAAATCTCCTCCCCGTATAAGCAAGAAGTTAAACAGATCTGACAGAACTGAGAACCAAGTTCAACCAAGGAGTCACTGGGGCTGAAACTACCTATCCTGAAAACTTGCAGAGCCACAGGACTAGAAACATTCTTGACTGCCCAGAAACAATCAAGCAACAGAATCTGTGAAACCACTGACAGGACTTCTATCATTACAGCAAAGAATATTTGACTGGGTAAAACCAAAACAGGAAAGAGTGCCAAAAGGGCTGTGAAACAGCCAAGGAAATGGGCCCTAACCCTGGGTAAACAGATCTGATGGGAGTCATTAAGGCATTATTTGTTACTGTCTGAGAAACCTTGCAGTAGGAAGCTAGCCTGACAGATAAACCCAGGGTATCATGGGACTATCCATGATATGCATTCCCAAGGAATGCATATCATGCACTGCTCTCATGCACCACTCCATCAGAAGAAACAAGCTGGGAAAACTGTCCTCCAAATGGGGATGACACTAGGGTAGACATTGGAGACCACCACCTGGAACACACTAGGTATACAGGGGGTGACACTTAAGTCAGAGCCCCAGAGCTAGTCAAGCTGACCATGCAGGTCAGAGGTTCCCTCTGGGGAGGGAGAGGGATGGTGAATGGATTGTTTTCACTTGGGACATGTAAGGCATTTAGTGATGCACAATAACCATACAAGGGGTTAGTTTGTAAACCTAAATTCTCTGCACCTAAGTGCTTAAAGGGCAAACTACCAAATTGCCGGCAAGGGTTACCAATCATCCTACCTACTTGGAAAAGCTGCGGCACACCTTTATGCTGAAAGGTTTTCTGAGGGCTTAGCGGGTTTCTGGATTCCAACCTTGCAAAGGGCTGGAGAACCAGGTTAGAGGGCATAGCCCTGCCAACCCCAGGAGTGGGTGAGGGAGAGAGATGAGACCCAGTCAACCTTTCCTTAGACTTCTTACATGAAGGAAGGAGAATACTTTAACCTGCAGTCATATCCTTAATATTAATGTCAAGGGTAGGTCCAAAGAGTTATCATTCCTTGAAGATCAAGCAAGTCAGGCATTATTTGAATACATCTACCTTCCAGCACCTTAACAAGAGTGTTTTGTGCATTTGTATGGACGTCAAACTCATATGAGACACAAGCCCAAATGCTTCCAGCTAGCCATCACAGCTGAAGCGTAGGGCTCCAGACATTTGTTCCATTCACACTCTCGGGAAAAGGTCCACTGCCGCAGTAAAGAGATCTCTTTTGAGGGATTTGATCCATTCTGCCATAGTTTGAAAGAATAAGGTTACAGCCAGAAGAGGGTGAAGGCCAGGGCCAGTAGTTTACCGGTTAAGTTGGGCCACTGGCAGATGCACAATGGCTACAGACCATTGTGCTACAAAATTATTTTTCAAAGTGAACAGATCCAGCAAGCACGCTGGGAAGTCTAGGACCCCTTGGGGTGCTTCCAATATTCATAGAAAAATACCTCGAAGAGTGGGTGTAATGGGAAGGTCTTTGTAAGAGCTCTGAAAGATTGTAAGTTGGAGACAGCAGGATAATCCTCCAGATGCAGAGTAGTACATATCAACAAGGACTGAAATGGTCTTGTTAATGAAAAAAAGACTGCAATTCCTCAAAAGCAAGAGACAGAATGAGGGGAAGCTGAATCTGAGCCAAAGACAGTTAATCAGAAATTGACACTGCAGGAGGCACAGGCGTATGTTTAGTGCCACTGCGGTCAGCACCAGAGAGGAACTTGGTGAATTTGGCCACAAAGTCTTGTGCGACTACGGTAGAAGCTCCTGACAATAATACAGAGAGCACTGCATCAACTGGCAGAGCCAAGGAAGACTCCAAATGAGGCAGGCTATCAATATAGGGAATCAAGATTCCAGATTAAAGATGTCAGTGCCTTAAGGGGGCATAGAGCAAATGTCCCTAGAACCCATAGCAGATTTTGAGCTAGGGTCACCCGTTACAGTGGTACGGTGCTCTCTGTGTCTAGATACATACATGTTATAACGATGTGGCAGTGTTGCAACTAAGCTCAGGATAAGAGGCAAGGCCTTGGGAACTCATAAAACCCAGGCAGCTGGTAGCAGGCGAGGGTAAGATCGCTGGAGTCGACTAAAATCACTGTAGACAGGCAATAGGAATGGACCAGAGATCAGAGTTCCACATGACCTTCTGTGAAGTAGGAATAGCGGTGGGTCGATGCCTCTTCAATGCTCAATGGTGAGAAAACCCAGCGAATGATGTCAGTGCTCAATGTTAACCCCTTCTGTGGTAAAACAGAAAGGGTAAATTTTAAAAGATACTCAGCAGTCCCAATGATGAGGTAGCCCCCAGTTCTCAGCATGAACAGCCTACTCACAAGGTGAGTCTTCAGAGATAGGGCAAGCACTGAGGCAATGCCTTGGCTCTAGACCTAGAAAGCGACCCAAAGCAATTACGAGTATGCGATGTCTGGAAACCACCACAAGCTAAACCGAGTGCCCAAGGGTTACATACTAGGTTCCCCTGCAATGTCCTGTGGGGTCCAGGTACAGCACTCTAAAGTCAAGCGGAGAAAAGGCTAATCCGGACAGCTGCCCTAGTAGAGAACAGCTCAAGCAGCAATGTAGTGAACCATCTTCATTTAAGAAACAATTGAAAAGTAAAAAGTGCAAGCAAGAAAGGTTTAGATTTTCCCCAGCAGAGCTGTAGAAAAGATGTCCATTCATCTAGAACACTAGCTAAAAACTGAGGTCATGCTTGAGACAGAAGGTATTATTCTGGGCTAGCATACAGATTGTTTTTGTTTGCCAGTGTTCAATCCTTCTGTAGGCAGTGGAATAACCTAACAGTATATGACTTGAGAGAAAAATCAGTTTAAACGAGCTGATGTCCAACAAATGATGTTGTAGTTGGAATTCTTCACAGTCAAAGAACCTTACAGATCCTAATCTGAAACTTTAAACTAGCACTGTTTCACCAGCTACTCACACAACGTGTACTCATGATTTATAAACCCTAAATTAAACTAGATTTAATTTACTATAGGAATTCAGACTCTTCTCTCATGTTCACTTTGAATATGCATTTTTCTCCCTTTGATGCTTGCATGCTTTATAAGGTGCCCCACAAATCCAATATACCTTTTGACTTTGGATAAAGTCAAAAGTTAAACCCCTCCCATCTCACTGCATTATTTTTCCTTGCTGCTGATGATGTACCCATCCCTCCTCACCATAACCAGCTATTTAAATAAAATAAAAAGTTATGTTTTGCCATTATTACAAATAAATTGTACTCAGTAAATTGTCTATATGAATCCTCCATATATACATATTGTTTACGAAGTGCAATACATTTGTAATAACGACTAAACAAAGCTTTTCTTCCCCAAAAAGCTGGCTATAGAGAAGTAGTTGCTTTAAAATAAATAAATAAATGTTTGTATTACTGCCCTCTGATGTTACATGAAGTGTTTGCATCATTGCATTTACCATAAGTATGAGGTTTTGTTCCATCCTTTTCGATGTCTTGAAGCCAGACTGCTAAAATTGTTGAGTCTGAATTCCATATAAGTTCTATCACCTATTAAAGACAAATCTAGTGTAAGGGGCACAATAGCAGCCTTTTTGTGTGTATAAATGCAGTATTTAACAACGAAACCAAGCAATACATATTTTCAAACAATGCAGTTTATTCTAAATAAGTAAATCAGATGACTCCAAATATACCATTAGTTAATAGATGCTTAAAACATAAAAGGAGAGCTTGATAAAATGGAGAGAAGAAAGTGATTTAAAGCACTCCGCAAGGCATCTTACTTACCTCGCAGAACGTCGCGTCACTGCTGCTCCGGTGGGCGGCGCTCCGAGCGGGGTCATCTGGCAGTCTCCGGGTCCTAACTTAGGTGGCCGGAGACAGCCAGATGACCCCGCTCGGAGCGCCGCCCACCGGAGCAGCAGTGACGCGACGC